TTGGTTACGTCACAATCAATATGAGGAGGCGCGGGAAACTTACAGAGTCGGATCTTGGGTGGGGGGGTCGGTAAGAGTTCAAGGCAGGAATACATTCATATATACACTGTCCGACTGGGCGGCACAGGAGGGGGGGCCAATCTTCAAAATTTAGTACATGATTCGAATTATTAAACGAATAATATATCTGATATCCTATTACGATGCTATTAGGTGTTAATGATAAAGGCATGAATTGAATACCCAGTAGGTACAAGCTACAGAGTCATGTCTCTGAAAATTACACTGGACAACAAATTTTAGTTTTTTAATTGTATCTTGTGGGAAAAGTGCACTTCTTTGTTAATTTTGGGGCGCTGAATCCAAAAATGACAATGAAATAAAAAAATTAGTTGCGGTTTAGAAAAAAAACTTTTTATTTTTAAGGATATAATAAAAAAATAACAAGATTCATATACTTATAAGAATCACTATATGCGCTGTCTTTTTGCTGTTCTTTTATGGATCGTTTCTGGAGCATCTCTACCAAGAGTCCAACAGTAGTCTGCAAGCATGGAAGGATTCCACTTTCCCTGGTACCTTTTTTCCATTGTTGAAATATCCTGATGAAAACGTTCGCCGTGCTCATCACTTACGGCTCCGCAATTGTCAGGAAAAATGTCCAGGTGTGAGTGTAGGAAATGTATCTTAAGAGACATATTACAGCCCATCTTTTGATACGATGACAGCATATTTTTGACAAGGGTTTTATAGTTGTCAGCTTTTCTATTTCCCAAGAAATTAGTGACCACCAGACGGAAATCATTCCTAGCAGTTTTTTCAATACCTGTTAAAGTGTTTTCAAACTGTGTATCTTTCAAAATATTTCGAATCTGTGGCTCAACAAAAATACCTTCTTTAACCTTTGCCTCACTTAGTCTTGGAAATTTCTGACGCAGGTATTGAAAAGCTGACCCATCTCTATCTAATGCCTTGACAGTTTTTCATTAGGCCCAACTTGATATGCAGTGGTGGTAATAAATTTTTTTTCGAATCTACTAATGGCATATGCTGTACATTTTTTTGACCTGGCTCTAGGAATTGACGAACAGGCCAGTTTTGTCTGGGGTAATGAAGTGCCTTTGCCCGACTGTCCCATTCACACAAAAAACAGCAAAACTTTGTGTAGCCTAGCTGCAGCCCAAGTAAAAGTGCAACAACATTCAAATCGCCACAAATATGCCATTGGTGCTCATCGTATTTTATGCATGTCAATAGGTACTTCATATTGTCATATGATTCTTTCATGTGAACTGCATACCCTACAGGAAGAGATGGTAAAATATTTCCAATATGCAATAACACTGCCTTTAAACTCAATGTTGAACTGTCTATAAACAATCTCCATTCTTCTGGGTTATAGTTTATATTTAAAGCCGCCAGTAAGCCGTTAATGTTACTGCAGAAAACCAAGTTATTCTCCATATTGAAAAATAGTTCTAAGTCTTTGTGGCGTTTACGAATACATACCGAAACATCGTCTTCTAACAAGTTCCACTGCTGCAGTCTTGATCCAAGTATCTCTGCCTTACATTTTGGAAGTTCTAAATCTCTTACAAGATCATTTAATTCTGACTGTGTTATTTTGTGCGGTTGGTGGCATGACGTGCTCGGTATAAAATCAGGATCTCTTGACGTTGATGACATATCTTCTTCCTAACGAATCACTCGATCGCCATGATCTGATTCGTTTTCTGATTCGCAAGTGTAGGATTATGGGGGTTTTGGAATAGGATTTTCGTCGCTGTGAGGCACAGGTCTCATCGCAGATGGTATGTTTGGGTAGTTAATAACCGATTTTTTTTTCTTGGACATACCTATGGCTTGTCCAACACAAGGTACCATGTAAAAGTAACAATCATTAATATGATTTGTAGGCTCTCTCCAAACCATTGGGACAGCAAAGCGCATATACCGTTTTTTGCCATTTAACCAGCTCCTCAGACTTGAAGCACATGTATTACAGCAGATGTGGGGTGCCCACTGTTGTCTTGATCACCTAGTTTACAACCAAAATAAAGCTGATATGCCTTTGTTATTAGTGGAGTAATAGACCGTCTCTGAGACGCAAAAGTCACATCACCACACACGTAACAAAACTGATCTGGATTGTTTACACACTTTCGAGGCATCTTGCATCAATGCTGTCAGCCAACTGAGGAAAAAATGGCTAATATAAAACAATATAATGTACACGTATGTATAACGTAACACAATCATGCCGATTACATCATCTTTCCTTGCCGAATATAAAAATGTAGCACGTGCATTCTTGTGAATTACAGTATATTAACACTGTCACAGCAGGAATACATATAATTACCGTATCTCTAAAACTTGAACTAATATTGAAAAAATAAGTTTCATTCCGGTTTTAGCACATTAAAAATAGTAATATTTTGTTAATTTTATTTAGGATATTTTTTGGCTGTTGATCAGTGTTATCATCGCTCTTAAAGTATTCTGGAAATATACAAATGATACATATTAATAATGAAATCCCACAACAAGTAACTCTCCAGAATTATTTTTTGGGATCAGTAGAACGTAGAGTTAGGGTGCCAGTGGTCGAACAGCTCTGGAAAAAATAGAACAAAGTGTAATAACGAATTTTATAATTTTATAAAAAAAATATTAATAAAAAAGGTCCCATTGTGCGAGTACTCGGACAGCAGGTGGTACTAGTCGGCCGGCTAGTTTCCAATTGTCGGACAGCATTTCATTGTTCAATTTTAGACAGAATCGTATTCAAAAGTTTGTGACAGTAGAATAGAACTTTCAAATCAGCTGTCATTAAGACTTTGAGGAAAAGAAATTAAACACACTTATACTGTACATACAAACTCTGAACAAGAAGCTCAATTTTTCCTTCAATCCGGTCCTGCACTGTCGACTTTAAACTATTTACATATTTCCAGCAATTTTCCAACATTTTTTACAACTAACTAGTTGGCGGTGTTATGAAAATCGCATATACACCTATAAAAAGCAAATAAAAGAGGATTCAAAGCAGATCCTTACGACAAACAAACACTGGAATTAGACTATCTCGTATGTATTATTATTCGGTTGTAAAAATATAAGCATCGTACCTTTTTACACTTATGGTGAATGCTCGTGGAAATTACTGACGAGATTTTAGTGGCGCTTCCACCAAAATTGCGAAGCGGGTCAAAGTAGTCTGGGACCGTAGTCTGATTACTGAAATCAATACAAAATTTTATCCACAACCTGCTGAAAGCAAAATGTTGAAGTACTATTAAGGAAGAACTACAAATAAAAATGAAGTGGCTGTACAAGGTGCCCTTTTCCTTTCGTCATGCAACAATTAGCAAAATTTTTCCACACGAAAGTCATAACATAACAGATATCAAGTTCGGAAAAAATCTGATACGAATCTTAAAAGGTGAGATTTTGTCGTTTTTTTTGTTTGTTTGAGATTTCGTAGGTTTTTCTACAATATGTTAGCTTAGCACAAGCTGTTGTGAACTCGTTTTGTAGCTGTACGTGTTGCCTATACATCAGCGAACAGCGATCATAACCAGCAAACGTGGAATGAACTATTTGCACACTGAAAACTACCTAGTCTGCAAGATGATATTTTGTCATTTTTTACGTTTTTAACATAACACCCTCGCTGGCCTGGTATGAAACCCATAACACAAGCTAGCAGAATACTGGTTGCATAAGCTACGCCTCCACAAACATCCAAATGTTTTGCTAACATTACAGTATACGAAGTATTAAGGTTGATTCTCACTATACATTCCGTTTGCATTCCATATCAGTTTCGTAAACGTGTTGTACAATGTGATTGTATACACAGTATACCTTACGGATAATGTGCATACACGCGCAATGGCCTGCTTTAAGCGAAGACGAATATTTAATTTCAATAATTTTCGGAATGGAAACGGAATGTATAGTGAGAATCAACCTTAAAGTGGGTATCGGAAAAATTGTATAGCCACGGTATTTTTCAGCACAGTTTCCTGTGGCAGATCAAACGTAAGTTGCATGTTGTGTCACTAGATGTCGGCACGTGTTTTCTTTGGAGAGATATCTATCTGTGATACATTGTATCACTTGATAAAGCAGTACAGTTTCCTATACCGTGAAACTCATTTCAGTGAAAACTTAAATTGATTGCGTACAGATGGCAACAAAGTTATTATTAATTTGATATGCAACTCACAAAACACACCAGTGAAATGCCAGTTGCATAAACCTATACTTCAACAAAATCCCAAAATAATAACCAAATACAAACATAATCTGAAAATACAGTTGATGATGGGATTCATACAAAGCCATAAATTTGTAATCAAATAAAGAAGCAAGATAGCTTAATTAATGCGATATTCTTGATATTTGATTAACATTCAAAACTTGTAGACCCAAAACAATCTAGAAAACAACCAATTTGAGGCCTATGAGCATGGATCTCTTCAAGTCAGCAAATGAAAATTTTGTTTACTCATTTTCCTAAATGTATAATGATACAGTCAGCGAAACCAACAATACATCCTCTAAAAATGCAGAAACAATTATAATAGAAGATGAACCAAAGTTGAAAATCAGACTGTTACTGAAAAGATAGAAGAGAAAAAACTCGTTTTTCTGCAAACGACCTGTAGGATGCAAACAAATTTTGAACGGGGTCATATTTATGTCGAAACTACAAATATATTGAAATGTAACAATATGTATATTATTTCTATACTAATACAGCACTTAAGATTTTATAAACTTCTATCACAAAAAAATCGTGTATTTCCTAAGATTACGCTGGTTATTTTTTAGAAAATGATATGAATGTGAATTCGGGATATATGTAAATAAGTCGGCATTTTAAAATTTCTTCAAAATTTAAAGTATAAGAAACATTGTAATCAGGGTATTTTTAAGCAGAGTTTGCTGTAACAGATTCAGCATAAGAGTTCTCAAGTTATATCTTTTACCACTAGATGTAGGTGTTTCCTTTGGACAGACATCTACCCTTGAAATCTGTGTCATGTAATCCATTTTGAAGAAAACTTCAATAATTGACAAAGTGCAGATGTAAAGTTTCCTGTGGCAGATGCAACGTAAGTTGCAGCTTATGTCACTGGATGTCTGCACGTGTTTTATTTGGAGAGACATCTATCCTTCATATTTGTTATCATTATGTAAAACATTACAGTTTGATATACCGTGTCATCCATTTTAATGAAAACTTGCGCTGATTGAATATAGTTAGCAATAAAGTTAATATTCATTTACTCTTCAAACATACTAGTGAAATGCTAGTTGCATAGGCCTGCACTTCAATAAAGACACCATATTTTTGCTGATAGTTAAACATCAAACTATGGAACATATTTCAAGTGCACATTACAGTTTTGCCTTATTAGTAGATAAGTCATCCAAGATTGATATTGACAAATTTGGCGTAAAAATTAAACCCCAAAATAATAAACAAATAATCTGAAAGAGACTTGATGGGATACATACAAAATCATAAATTTGTAAACAGATATAGAAGTAAGAATGCGATATTCTGGTCCGAGTAAAGATAACATGGCCACGCAAGACAACTGTTGAAATGCTCACTAGACCCTAGAAGACTATCCGTAGCGAAATATGGCCGAACGCATTCCACAACACTTAAAAAATGCAAAGGAAAATTGAAAAACTGCCGCTTTGTCGTTCTAAAGAAACCGACGGTACCCCGGGATAGACATCCATCTTGACAGATAACCTTGTCATTCTTGTCACCTGGATTGCGGCGTTGCCAACTCATCAGAGACGGATCTGAACATTTTGCTAGGTCTGGATGAGATGAGAGATGACTGAAGGGTGCTTCAAGATGATTTTCACAAACTATTTTATTTTTCTGTATACACACAACCTTTGTTATTATTGTGAAATTATGTTTAATACAAAATTCCATCATACAGAGTGTTTTATTTCCCATTAGAAAATCCACAAAACGAAATACATCGCATTAGATGTAATTGAAAAATCCTGTAGCGTTAGCTGAAAATTCATTAAAATACCGTGTGTCACAGAACATGTAAATGTAAATTTTAATTAAAACTTCGTACAATTTTCCGACTTAATGCTACAGTTTTATTTATCAGTGTAGTCTCCAAAATTGGTGAAAACATAGTTCCAATATTTCGGATCCCCCCTTGGATCTAAAGGTAAGTTTTCAGGCGGTAAAGCTGTTCTATTGTACGCTTCCAAAATATCCAGTAGTTGTTGAAGCTTCTCTGGATACCTGTAAAGAAATTTAAGAAAATATTGGAACAGGCCAGATAGTAAACGTTTCGACACCATTTGGTATGAAAAGATCGAAAACAAAAAAGTGCGGAGTTGTCCATATTTTTGTTTGAAATGCTTAATTCTGGTTAAGCATCAAGTTGTTTGAATTCTAAAAAGTACAGAAAATTTCCTATATTATTAGGTGTTTAATTTTTGCCTTGGAAAAAGATCATTTCTGCATGGAGAATCGACATTTGCGTTGCAGTTCAAACGTCAATAGAATCGGGTAAATATTTTTCAAGATATTAATTTTTTTTTAATTTACCACCCTGTATCTTAAAAATTCTGCATTTCCGGACCCATGTTTATACTAGCTTTTTACATATAAAATATATCCGTCTATTTTTCGAACATCCTGTGTATTACTTTTAATTAAATTATTAAATTAAATTGAAACCTCACTTTTTTTCGCTAACCATTTCACGTAAAGTGCCCATTTTCTAACTAGAGACTAGACAGGGAGAGGTATTCTTTACAATTTAAATTTTGCTTAAATCTATTTCAAAATGTCAATAAAAAATACTCACTTGTCAGCCAAATTGACTTTTTCGCAAGGATCCGTTTCAATATGAAACAAACACGGCCTTTCTAGAGGCTTACAAACGACTTCTGCTTCGTCTGTCACATTACATTCGACATTCGCGGCTCTCCTCAATTGTTCGATTTTCTGAGAAGACGTGGACATGTTCAGATCTCGTAGCACTTGTCCAACAGCAGAATTTCCTACCGACGAGACGTTGTAGGTGTGGTTTCTCCCATCAGGGCCGTACCAGTAATCCCAAATGCCGTCATAAGTTGCCCCTTCAATTTGGGAAAAGGAAGAACATTAGTAAGAATACTCAAGGCGGCAACTCTTATGCCTAAAATACAGGATGTCCGCAAAGTTGAGGTTTTCCTTTACACGACGTGTAGATTTTGAGAAAATAAGCGGATTTTCTTAGTAGCTTATACAGCAATGTCTTAAAAGAACTGAGATATTGGGCTCAATCAAACCTGAACCAAACCGAAGCCGGTCCTGTCCTATCCCTCGATCACGTCCACAGCGCCAGCGCCAACGTACAGTTATACGACGTACGACCACGATGTAAATACGGGTTTTAAGACAGAGCCGTACTTTTAATTTCAATTGACTACTTTTTCATTTTTCTTGTTCGCTCACGTTTCACCACACATTAACTTTGTTATATCAAGCGTAGCTGTATCTGAAAATGAAAACCCGAACGTTGCGGACACCTTATAGATTGGAATCTAAAAGCCTTTCAATACTGAAATTCCATTTAGGAATTGTGTTACCTTTGGTGATCTTCCATCCATTTGAACTCAGAGCAGCATTCCCAAAGATATCGTCAATGTTGTGTAGAATTTCTGTCCTCCCACTATTAACGTCCTCTGTGATGCTTCTCCACATCGACATACCATCCAAGTTTTTGATATCGCTGCAAATTTTACAAGATATATAATTATAAGAAAGCGTGTAAAAAATATATTTGGTACAATATTATTTGAAAAAAAAAGGATTCAGTTATAGGGAAAATCTTTGCAGGAAATTGATTACATTTTCAAAAGTTATCTTGCCATTCTTGTATGCGATACTGGTTGCGTATGCTCAATCTCAGAATGGTTGAAATCGAAAAGAAGTGTGACTTGCGCGGAAAGATGTAAAGAGAGGTTTGCAAATAAACAATCTACGTCCTGAAAAAAGATTTTATAATGGATATCTAAAATTAAGCTGAGTGTAGTAATGCTACAAACAAATCCTCAAATTATAAGGGGAACAGATAGAGCGACGGAACATATAACAGTGGCGTTTTAGATAAAAGTATACTACCAGAAAAAAGTTATCAGAATGAAGAACTTTCACTCCTCGTACTGATCCATTAGGCTATAAACAGATAAGCTGTTAAATTGCCGAGATCTGATCTAAACTTGAGGCCGGATTCTCATCGAGATGGATATTTATTGCGTCAAAATCAAAAAGTCAAAAAGTCTTTAACGTATTTTCGACACAGTGATGATTATTGAATTACCACCTTTGACACTGACCTTGTCGGCGTGCCAGCCGCTTCCAACAGCGTAGGTAGCCAATCAACGATATGCATGATTCCCTGATGCAGTCTGCTCCGCCTTGTGATGATCGGGCTCCATATAAGCCCCGCCCCTCTGACTCCGCCTTCCCACAGCGTGTTTTTGACGCCCCTCAGCGGCCAATTGGATGCGGCGTTCAGGTTGAAACCGCTCGCCGGGCCGCCGTTGTCCGTTGAGAAAATAACGATGGAGTCGCGCAGCATGTCACGTGATTGTAGGGCGCGAATCACGGTTCCTACAGAATCGTCCAAGCTGCTCAGCATACCTGCAATTGTTTATGTTAATCGAAAAATTACAAGCGTTGTAGGGGACATTACCGGCAAATCTTTGTCGCTGGTAGTTTCCGATATGCCTGAATTTCTCCACTTTGTCATCGTGCGCAGGCAGCGGGTTATAGGGATTGCCGGAGTGAACAGCGGCATGCGCCAAATATAGGAAAAGGGGCGCGGACGTGTCGTGATGTTCGATGATCGTCGCCGCTTCTCTACCGAACAGATCCGTCGAGTACTGTCCGTGCAAGTCGTACGCGACGGACATGTTGCGACGCATGTCCAAGCCCCAGCCGGGGCGTTCCACGGCCGTGTGGTCGAAGTAGTCCTGGTGACCGGTCCAGAAACCTGAAAAAAAATTGATTTCAACTGCTATCGAAATATCACACTTAATAACAAACATACACATCTCCCGGTATTTAGGAATCTAAACTTGAACAACCATTATTTTCACAATATCAATAACGCCCGAGATATTCATTAAAACTTGTTTATAAAACGATATTTCTCATCTCTTTCCGCTGCTCGACTTTCCATTACAGAAATAAATCACCGCCTTCTCCCTCCTATGCCGATTTATTCGCCCCAAGGTTTTCCTACGGCATACAAATCCGCGTTTCGCAAGCCTTCAGGCCCATATTTCGTTCCGTGCTTACCCAAATGTGACTTGAAACCGCGATAAAGCGGCGTGTACTCTTTCTTGTAAGACCCTAGATGCCACTTGCCCACTATGTGATTCACATAACCGAGATCCTCCAAGTATTGCGGCAGGATTTTCTCCGTCAAGGGCAATCCTGAAAATAACGGGTACTTTTTTAAATAGAAGAAGTATATAGAGTTCTATTTGTTTATGGTTAAGTTCCTTACAAATCACATGGTTTAGCTACAAACAAATAATCGGATCCGGATCAACAGTGACCAATTAGAAATGTGACAAATGACAGATGACAAGTAACAGATGAAAAGTGACAAATGACATTTTAACAAAGGTAAACAAAAACAAGGATTAGACGCTGACATTGTTGCCACAGAATGCTTTAAATATATTCATCATGTTGCCAAAAAAGCAAGTTAAAGATATTATTCTTTCTGGGTGTCACCGAGTATATGTTTTCACTCATTTTCTCTAAATATGTTGACGTCGTTTAATTTTTCGTACTTTTCACGAAAATAAGTAGTAGACCTTATGTAACTGTTTTTGTTTTACAGAGTTGATTAATGATTAAGCATTTGTTAGTAAGCTGATTGGTGTGAAATTAACTTTTGTTTTTTCTCTTCACATGACCTAAATATTACGCTTACAAGATATAATCAATAATTTGTCCATCTATCTTGTTGAAGTTTATGATTAAAAAATAAGGAAAATATTTTTCCTTTTACATGTAATTAGACAAGTAACTTTTAGAAGCTGATATCCAAATGACTAGGGGCCGTATCGTCGGTTGTTTCTACAATCGTAGGACGCCTTTATGGCCTGCTTGATTTTCATAGGATATTTCTAGCTTTCGGAAGTATAGAGCTGATATACATGACGCCATTTTTTAATCGTATATTACTTTTTCAAAGACGGTACCTCTTGGTTCTGCTCCAAATAGCACCGTATGCTGCATGCCAGTGTGAATTGGATATTTGCCAGTCATCAGAGCGCTTCTGGATGGGGTGCAAATCGGAGTAACATAATAATTGTGCAAAATTACCCCCGAGTAGGCCAAAGCGTCAATGTTGGGGGTATGTATATCGTTCGCGCCACGGAAGCCTACATCGTTGAAACCCTGAAAGTACCTAAAATTTACTTAAGTCGATGTATACTCACTGACCCAGAAAAAATAATTCCTACAACTTGTTTTTTGGTAACTATATCAAAAAATGTGAACGTTTTATGCTTGTTTTTGCTTAGTACTGCAATGACGGCAATGCGTGTGTGTCGTGTGTGGATAGAAGAAGGTAGAGGAACCCGAAGAATGAGAACTGGTCCCCATATTTTTCGTCGTACTACGGAAACAGGCGTTACTGTTCTGCCGCGGCCGGATTTAAATCCCATCGAACATGAAGGAGACTGTCTTTTTTCTTTTTTTTGTCAATAAAATTTCGTGAGAATGTTATCGTTTCATTCTGGATGTAAGACTACCTCATTGCCAAAAAATCAAGTTGAAAAATTATTTTTTCTGGGTGTAACACTACGTCACTGAGTATATTTGTTGGATACGCCACAAAGGTACTTCGGAGCAATATCTAGACTACTTGTCACATTTATCAAATACACAAAATTGTATTTTGGTGTGTACAGTGTGTCCCAATATTCCGGGGACATAGAAGATAGAAGTACCACGTATACTAAGTGACATATAAATCCGAGCACCCAGTTTAAATGGTTTTATTTTAATAAAAGTTGGTGAATGTATTTATCTTACTGTAAATAACAAGTGAAAAAATTTTCAGCCTTATCAGTTGGACATTCCGGTTTTTATACTGCTTTTTTTTAATTCACTAATGCTCTAAAAATAAATATTTCAGCCGCAGTAAAGAATCAACGTTGGCGGATTTTGGTTCTTGACATCCTTCACGATCGGTTACGATGCCTAGAGTGCGGAGACCTGTACGATTTCGTCAACTTAGTGAGTTTGATAGGGGCCGTATAGTGGGACTTCGGGAAGCTGGACTTTCTTTTCGGGCAATTGCAGTTAGAGTGCAAAGAAGTGTAGACACTGTGGTTAGGTGTTGTCAGGCATGGCTTCGAGAAGGCCGTACGCAAAGAGCAAGGGGCACTGGACGCCGCCGTAGAACAACAGACCGTGAAGATCGCCGCCTAAGATTATTGGCCTTAAGGGACCGTGTCTCTACTACCAGGTCCATTGCAAATGAATGGTTTGCAGAACACGGAAGACCTATTGGCATGCGAAGTGTTTACCGACGAATGAGAAGTTTTGGCTTGTATTCATACCGGCCACACTGGGTCCTCCCTTTAACTCGAGAACACCGACGTAATCGCCTTGAGTGGTGCAGACAACGGTCACTCTGGGATCAGGAATGGAACAGTATTGTCTTTAGTGACGAGTCTCGATTTTGTTTAGGCATGCACGATGTTCGTGCCAGGGTTAGAAGGCGACGTGGTGAAAGGAGGAATCCACAGTTTTTTGTTGAAAGACATGTTCATCACACTGTTGGAGTGGTTTGGGGTGCTATAGCTTATGGTTCCAGGTCACCTTTAATCTTCATCAGAGGTAACATGAACGCGCAGCGTTATATCCACGAAGTTCTAGAACCCCATCTTTTGCCCTATCTTGACACCCTGGAAGATCCAACTTTTCAACAAGATAATGCCCGACCACATGTTGCAAGAGTCACAATAGACTTCTTTCAACATAATGATGTCACATTGTTACCATGGCCACCAAGATCTCCCGACTTATCCCCAATTGAGCACGTGTGGGATCTGATGGGTAGGAGATTGCTCAATTTGCAACGTCCTCCTCAGACTCTAGAAGCACTTCGAGAGGAGTTGGTGGTTGCCTGGAATGAGATACCACAGGGGGAAATTGACCACCTGATCAGAAGCATGCCTAGGCCCGTTGGAGAATGCGTAGCACATCAGGGTGCATCCACACATTATTGAAGGTCAAAGGGCTTTAAAGCAGTGTAATCATTTTGAAATTTTTATCATTTACTTATTATGCTTCATTAAGTACTTATACAAAATTTTGTTAAAATAAAACCATTTAAACTGGGTGTTCGGATTTATATGTCACTTAGTATATTTTTAGACTCAAAATAAATAGATTAGACAAACGCAAAAGTGCTTTGTTTGTCCCTTAGAGGGCGTCCCAGTTTTCTCTTTTAACTACTCCTATCCCTACATAAAATAAAGCAGAACAACTTTCCGGAAAACTCCGATTTTTTTTCATTAAAAAATTCCTTCTGTTCACCTAATTTTTTGCCTATTTGGAAACAGGTCTCTCTCATAGTTTTCGAGACAAAAAAATGTTTTTAGTGCTGGTTTCAAAAAAATTACATCAGGTGCTTGCGGAAATGTGGGATGTTATCTCAATTTTTGACAAAAAGTTTCATAAGGTTTAAATCAGTAAGCAATGTTTGAGTTTGTTAATTTGTGGTTTGTTCTTCATATATTTTAAATCGACAATCAACTACGGGTCATAATGCCAAATGCTGCAAATACATTAAAGGATAATGACATTTTAGGGAAAGTTGACAATAAATAATAATATCTGAATCCACAGAAACCTTCACCATTTTCGGCAATTGTCTGGAACACTAGGATTGTATGGAACTCTCGCACTTTCATACATTTTCTCAGAAAAGTACAACTTCAATGTGAAATATCAAACTACTGACTATGTAATTTTAGCTTAAAATGTTTACTTACCAAATCATCAGCTAAGATAAAAATAATATTCGGCTTTTCGGTTGCATCGCCTGTACTAAGCACCGGTGATAGTACCAAAAGTATTGCAAAGCTCGTGCTGTAGCTCCGAAAATTCATCATCTCCACTATACAATAAGGATGGTTTTCAGTCTAAAAATCTATGTTTTATCATCAATCTAATATCCATGCAGATAGTCTACAAAAGAACTTACCTGTAATACTCACAGATTCGATACTCTCGCTCACTTTGCTCTAAATATTTTCATTGATGACTATACGGTAGATTGATCGACAAGTAGGCGTAGACACTCCTAATAAATCCAATATAAAATTGTTATTACTAGACTGAGCAAGTCCTAAAACAGGTGAATAACAATACGGAATCTCAGGCTTATACTTTACGAGTATTTTTTCTCAGTAACATCTGAGGATGAATACAAATTAGAAGTAGCTGCGGAGAATTTATATTTAGATACATACAGGGTCTCATGGGAAAGTTTGATATCTCAAGCATATCAAATAAGGAACATTTCACGTGAAGAAAGCACCGAAAATAGCGAGGTTTTAAGATTCGGAATATTAGGCCTGTTTGTAGATCTAGTGTAGGCGTGCAATAGTTATGAAGACAGATCACATATTCAAATACTTATTTCGTAAAAGAAAATATTTTAAAATTACAAGCTGCATTTTGGCGAGTGATACTTTTTTAAAATCTGAGTAGTAAATTTTTTGATATATACTAAGTGACATATTAATCCGAACACCCAGTTTAAATGGTTTTCTTTTAATAAAAGTTGGTGAATGTATTTATCTTACTGTAAATAACAAGTGAAAAAAATTTCAGCCTCATCAGTTGGACATTCCGGTTTTTATACTGCTTTTTTTTAATTCATTAATGCTCTAAAAATGAATATTTCAGCCGCAGTAAAGAATCAACGTTGGCGGATTTTGGTTCTTGACATCCTTTACGATTGGTTACGATGCCTAGAGTACGGAGACCTGTACGATTTCGTCAACTTAGTGAGTTTGATAAGGGACGTATAGTGGGACTTCGGGAAGCTGGACTTTCTTTTAGGGCAATTGAAGTTAGAGTGCAAAGAAGTGGATAGGTGTTGTCAGGCATGGCTTCGAGAAGGCCGTACGCAAAGAGCAAGGGGCACTTGACGCCGCCATAGAACAACAGACCGTGAAGATCGCCGCCTAAGATTATTGGCCTTAAGGGATAGTGTCTCCACTACCAGGTCCATTGCAAATGAATGATTTGCAGAACACGGAAGACCTATTGGCATGCGAAGTGTTTACCGACGGAGGAATGGAACAGTATTGTCTTTAGTGACGAGTCTCGATTTTGTTTAGGCATGCACGATGTTTGTGCCAGGGTTAGAAGGCGACGTGGTGAAAGGAGGAATCCACGGTTTTTTGTTGAAAGACATGTTCATCACACTGTTGGAGTTATGGTTTGGGGTGCTATAGCTTATGGTTCCAGGTCACCTTTAATCTTCATCAGAAGTAACATGAACGCGCAGCGTTATATCCACGAAATTCTAGAACCAAATCTTTTACCCTATCTTGACACCCTGGTAGATCCAACTTTCCAACAAGATAATGCCCGACCACATGTTGCAAGAGTCACAATAGACTTTTTTCAACATCATGATGTCACATTGTTACCATGGCCACCAAGATATCCCGACTTATCCCCAACTGAGCACGTGTGGGATATGATGGGTAGGAGATTGCTCAATTTGCAACGTCCTCCTCAGACTCTAGAAGCACTTCGAGAGGAGTTGGTGGTTGCCTGGAATGAGATACCACAGGAGGACATTGACCACCTGATCAGAAGCATGCCTAGGCGCGTTGGAGGATGCGTAGCACATCAGGGTGCATCCACACATTATTAAAGGTCAAAGGGCTTTAAAGCAGTGCAATCATCTTGAAATTTTTATCATTTACTTATTATGCTTCATTAAGTACTTGTACAAAATTTTATTAAAATAAAACCATTTAAACTGGGTGTTCGGATTGATATGTCACTTAGTATATTATGCGAGGAAAATATTGAGTCAATCTACTTTCTACCATTATTGTTAAGCTATTTCCAGGTGAGATTTACTAGCTGAAAATATGTAATTACAACTGTCGGTTATTTTATTAACAATACATTTTTTTATATTCAATATTTTATGTTTAATACCATGCTTTCCAATAAATTATAACGTTGAATAAGTAAGCCTGTATTTATATTTGCTGCATTTGCATGTGAAATTATATACAGGATGGCTCATATGTGACTCTCCTGGTACTAGATACATTAAGGATCTCAACTGGTTCACGATGCGTCAGAGATGGATTGTACACTTGTTGTTCATAGTACAGACCCTCCTATTAAATAAAATATCCAGCATATCTGAGCAGCAAACTTTCATTCAGAAGTCAGCAACACTCGGCGAATTTACGCTTTGTAGGTTATACCCTCGATATGCCCCCCCATAAATCAACACAATTCACAAAGTGCTTCTCATACATAGCGCCTTTCCTTTCTAGTTCTTTACCATCACATCTGAAAAGTTTGAGTAGCAATAATTTTAAAGTTAAAATAAAGCAATTTGTTCTCGATAATACCTAATTTTATACTAAGCTCTCATCTTGTAAATACTGTGATTCTACATTGCGTTTGACTTATTCACATGTAACTTTATGATCTACTGATCTTTATGTGAATGCTTCTTACTTGTGATTACAGGGGCCGTTCAAGTATTACGTGAGCACTTTGGGGGGGCGGGGGGATCTTTGCTTTGCTTATTTTGGATGACATGGGGGGTAGGGGAGTCTAGATGATGATTACGTCATCGGTAGTTATTTACTTTTTTATACGAATGGCAACCCATACATTGCCTTTGCTTGAAAACGAAACGCATTTTCGGGGATTCCCGCAAATAATGCATACGTTTAGTGAACAGCGCGCGGTAATTCCCCTACTCGCTTTAGAACCGAGTAGGGGAATTGTTTCGTAGCGAGCAGACGTATCGTAAGCATAGTAAAGCAAGTTAACATTTGTGTTACCATTGATTCCATTAGCCAAAGTTTAATGTTTAAATAAGATGTCGTTTCACATAGACAAATCCAAGTTTTCCAAAAAAATTTTTAAAGTTTTAAAAAATCTCATACAAGTACGAAAGTACAAAATGTACAAAAGTTAGTTAACGAAGTGTGGTGAAATTTTTTGTTTATACAAATGTGCTTCAAACATTCAGACTAACGTTTCTCCAAAAGGCAAACATTTCCAACGAGAGTAATTCTCATGATACCCAAAAATACAACAGATATATTTTTTCTATATAGGTCAAAATATCCTAAAAATTTTTTTGTATGTATTGGTTTTGCTATTGGTGTTATTGCAACTTATGTTTATAAGAACTCACCGTGCCATTTTTTACGTAGAAATACTGCCGCTGTGTCTTGAGTCACCCTGTATACGTACAACTGTCAGTTCATTGTTCTCTATTAAAATTAATATCGAACGGATTTTCGCTGGCATTAGCGCCAATAAATAATTCTCGTTATATAAACTTGATCAATGCACAATCCGAACTCTGCGATATTAACAAATTCGACTGATAATTGCTTTCGATATAGAATCGGAGAAAAACTGGGCGCACAATATCGCTTCTGCGTAAACAAAGTACTGGCCGGTTTCGGTTGGTTATAATTATTGACTAATTAGTAGACCGTAAACAGCGGTTTTAAACAGTCATTAAACTGTGGTGTAATCAACGTTGGCCGATAGTTACAGAAAAGCATTTTGCTTATCTCCTTCTTGAATTTTACAAGGTTGTATAAATTACCTCCTAGGTATGCCAAAACTGGCTTAACTTCTTGAATTTCGGACTGCATTCATTTCTACAATATTGCTTCCTATGCCAAAACTTGCGATCAAGTATTGTGATCGCGATAAATGCCGAAATTGACATATTACGTCTTTTGGAAGTTATATGATTCGTGCGGTTGCTGTATATCGCACATTGCCATGGATGTTGTTGATCGATAGCGATTGCTTGTTACCTGTTGTCACTTTAGTTTTGAATCCTTCTTTTCTCAAACGCATAGAAATGGTTCAAAAAATTTTCTTCGGGAGATCTCAGTTTGAGCGACGAACCACCCTCAGGGAGACCAAAATTAATGAAGAGGATCTTCGACAGGTTGTGGACGCAAATTCCAGGACAACTTGCATAAATGTTCAGAGTGAGCCTGAAACTGTTCGTTTGCATCTTCATCGGCTAGGAAAGACGTGGAAAGTTAAGCAAATGGGTCCCACATGAACTGACAAATGATAACACATTAAGTCGTCTTACGATTGGTTCAGCAAACATTTCACGCAACGCTAATGAACCATTCCTTCATCGGTTATTAACCGGCGAAGAAAAATGTATATTTTATTCGAATTCTAAGCGTTCGTATCATTGGTTGTCGCCTACTGTTTCGGTACCACACACGCCCAAGGCTTCCTTGCACCCAAACAAGGTTTTGTTGTGTGTTTGGTAGACAGCAACTGGAATTGTCGATTATGAGTTTTTGGAAAGGGGTCAAACCGTCACTGCTAACTTGTATTGTGAGCAGCTTCAGCGAGTACAAGCAGCACTCATTCAGAAACAGTTAAGCATGTTCAGATGAAAGAAAATATAATTTTAGTTGAAACTCCTCGTCTTACAAGTATTGAAAAATATGTAGGTGTCAGCTTTGCAAACAATATCCTGAACACTTGAGTGACTCCTTCCTTGCATTTCGAATTTATAAATGTTGATAATTATTTGTTTTTCGCTAACGCTAAAACGAAGCCTTTTAGTTCTTTCTTTTCATCAGCTGTATCCGTATCACACATTTTGAGTTCTACGAAATTAAACTGACAAATCTAATAGGCACACAGTAATACCAGTATAAATCTGATGCCAACACATGTTAATTTATACATTTATTAATTGAATTTAAATTAAACCTACTCAAAATAAAATTTTGTATCTGTTATGTAAAATATACATCAAATAAACAGGTGTCTGACCAATAAGTGCCCGCAATGAAAAAAAAATAAGAGGGATAAAATAAAAAAAAAGTGAAAAACAACAAAAAAAAGTTTTTTACTTAAAATAGTACAATAAACGAGTTCGTTTATTAATTATAACATAAACGTATGTTCTACAATAATTTCACTGTTAGTTTGATTAAATTCCGCTTCTTATACGTTTAAGTTATCTAAAAATAGGCACAAAATCAACGAATTTTAGTGTGTAATTATCCTTGAATTTTCAGAATAATTAAAAAAAAAATATTTGTTATAAAGGGGGTTCTTTAAAAAAATCAATGCGAGCACTTATTCCCAATGCGGGCATTTATTAGTCAGACACCAATAAACATAAAATAAACTATAAATAAAATAACATAAGCAATAAGTCAATGTTTTTAGTGAGAAGGATGAACCTGATGCTTTAATAATAAATTATCAACATTTGGCGTCAATTTTGTAAGGGTTAATCTTAAATCTCCTCGGTTAATGATGTCCAGTCTATTTCTTTTTTTCGTTAGGAGATTGATAACAGCACTGAACCCCCTTTCCACTAGGTATGACGATGGAAAGGAAATTAAAAATGTCCCCGCTATATTTCATAATACGGGATAAGTAACGGGTATGTTGTTTTGCAGCCAGAATTGCTGATATCCGTTTTTAAACTGAACCTTAAGTTCTTCGTTTGTACTTAGTTCAGTCAGTTCCTCTTGTATTATGACATTCGTTTCTCTATGTCACCATATGGATTAATTATCCACGGGGGTATTACCATAGTCAAAATATCCTCAAACCTAGATTCAAAATCTGAATAGAGTGCATTTAAATGTTGAACGTAAGTTGAAACGTCGTCTTCCTGGCAGCTTGTCTGTGACAAATTGGGGAACTGAGAAAATTCGCCCCGTCCAATATTTTGCTTCATTAGTTTAACTCGGGCAAGAAACGCTGATAAGATGGACTTTGTTTTAATCAAATTTAAACTGTCGCCTTGTAATTGCAAATTAACCATATTAAATTTTGTAAACAAATCTGTTAAATAGGCGATGTCTGTTTTCCTCTTTATTAAATTTTCTTTTAAAATTTTATCTTTAGTATCCAGAAATTCTAAAATAGTCTCAAAAAGTGCAAAAAATCTTGTCAAACATAAGCCTTTCGACAGCCAGCGTACTTCAGTGTGAAGGAGTAATTGATAAAAGTGTTCGTCATTTTCTTCACGCAACTGCGCAAATAACCGCGTATTCAACGCGTTGCTTCGGATTCGGTTTACTGCATCAATGACTAAATGAAGTGATTCATGCAATCTAACACTCAAATTTTTAGCAACTAAATGTTGTCGATGGATGACGCAATGTATTGCTAACACCCCTGACACATTTTGTTTTAAATAGCTTATAAATCCACGATAACGTCCAACCATGGCAGGTGCTCCATCTGTAGCTACTGATATTATATTTGATAAAGGAATTGCTTTTTCGATGAAGTAAGCCTTCAAAACATGAAATATTGATTCACCTTTAGTGTCGGTTATCAAAGTTCTTGCGAAGAGCAGTTCTTCGTAGATTTCTTGATTCATAATAAAACGAACACATGCCAATAATAATGCTGCATTATCAGGTAAAGTTGACTCGTCCAGTGGTATAGAGAAATGGGTCGTATGCAAATAATTACATAAGAAGCTTTCAATATCAGAACTCATTTCATCAATACGTCTTTCAACAGTATTGTTACTTAAGGGAATTCTTTTAATGATATCAGATGCAGGTTTGTGTAAAACAGTTTTTAAAACCTCTTCAACGGCTGGCAAAATTAACTTCTCTCCGATAGTATGCGGTTTTCCGGATTTTGCTATAAGTAACGAGATATTGTAAGACGCCCGCAAACCATCATCATTTCTTTGTGACGTCGAAGCGAACATTCTGTCCAGTGTAGGTCTCTTCTGAAATTTATCTATGAGTGTTTGAAAGTATTTCAAATCTTTCTCTGTTTTATCAGGGTGGCATCTTCTCAGATGATCTTGCAGTTTAGATGGTTTCATAGCGTCATTGCCCAAAACTTTGTTGCATAAAAGGCACATAGGCGATTGTTTGTCCGGCAATGATGGAATGAAGCCAAATTTCAAATAATCAACACTGTACTGTCTACATTTCTTTTTAGATTCGGACATGGCATCAGTCATCTGTGGCCAAAATTAAATTATTTAAACAAGACAGAAAATCCACCAGCTGTATAGTAAAAATATTTTTTGATTTTTCCGAAAATATTCCATATTTCGAACATCTTCTTGCAACAATTAGCTCGAGTTACGGAGATTGCACTGTAATTATATTACCGATTGCTAAAACTTTCAAAGAGAAACTATTGAGGAGTACTCGTGTAATTTTGCATGATTGAATATTTAACTACTAAAAGTCATGATTGGCGCAATTTATCTCTCTTTGCTAACTACGAGTACAAAACTAACATTTAATAAAAAATAATGTACTTACTTTTCTCCAGCACTCTCAAACAAAATCACACTGACTCACTATAATTTGTGTGATATACTATCTGTTTATATATTTTTTTTTAAATATTTTCTTACCACTTTCCTTTTCAAGATTCAGGAAACGAATAAACGTATTTGTCCCACATTCGTATTTATAGAGTGACGAATTGAACAAGTCAGTGCAAGGTAGCGAAGCTCCGAGACTGCGATTCTCAGGTTTTTACAAGTTCAAAAAGTATTGCGACCACAAAGCGAATACCAACATCCTACAACTTACACAATTTCATAAACATATATAATACATTTTGTACTTCATAGGTACTTTTATAAATAATGTATATGTTTTGATATTATAAGATAGTATGATGTAAGTAAATAGGTACTATCAGTGTATGAGTTGAGATCCACTATCGTGGACCCCCATATTCATTTCATGGACCCCCAAATTTTTTTTCGCTGACGTAGACCCCTTGCAGGTTATCATAGACCCCTAGAGGTCGATATAGACCACTTTGGGAATCAATGGTTTTGTGTAAGGGCTCGACCTATTCTGCCCAATAACAGTCCCTCTCTCTTGGAATATATCAGTGTACTAATCACGCAATAATCACGCGATGATCCAAGTCTCTTTCTTCGATACATACATAAGAACAATAAGCAGCACCAGTAGATCATCAACAGCCGCTATCACGCTGAGACGCGTCCGGAATACCGCGCTTATATCCTCATTTGCTCCCAGCACCTTCTTCGTATGACTCGCTCAATCTCAATTTCCTTCATCCATGGAACAAAAAACGTTCTTCGAACTTTAACCGTTTCATTTCCAAGAAAACAGCGAGCGAAAATCTAATGCAGATCCTGTAACGAGTCGTGAACGGCACCGGGAATCTTTTGTTTCCGCTCAGCACTCACCACCTCGATCTGACTTTCTCTATCCGATACTCAATTGACGGAGACTTGTTCTTCGCCTTGAAGCGATCTCATAAACCGTTTCATTTTCATCCGAAGTGATCGAACAGCACAGTTCGTGCTGTCCGCGTCCGGGATTCCTTTCGTCGCGCGTTGTGTACGTGACCCAGTTTCTATTTTTAACCATCGGCAGCGGGGGGCGCGGGCGGGGCATTCCCCGGACCGAAATTAGGGCACCCGCCACGCGCCGACCCGATCAACCAGCAGACAAAACTGCGAAATCCCTTACGGGA